TGTCTAAACCTAACTGTTGGTTTAGTTGTCTAAACCTAACTGTTGGTAGTTATTTTAAGGCCAACAATGATTTTTTAACATAATGTCGTCCCGAAAAAAACACTTCTGAGGGACATGAAAAACAACAACTGTGTCCCTGTACACAAATCCAATAGGTTGCATTTCGTGACTATTTCACAAACGGCAGTCAGACTGCGTTGCATTCAGAACACTTGCTCTTGCTTACCTGGTAGATGACGACACGGAACTTGTTGCGGGTGAGCAGCTCATCCTGCGTGGATTCAACCTTCTTGACGCGAACGTTTTGCTTCTCCACGCGCGCCCGCACCTCCTTGACGTTGGCGCTGACCTTGCGGGTCTTCTGCAGGAGCTTCTCCACCGTGCCGCTGGTGTCGGTGTGGTCCTTGGCCAGTTTCATGACGTCGCCCTGGATGGTCTTGATGTTGTTTTCCAGGTCCAGCTGACGCTCCTCCATGCGCTGCTGGCAGGACTGGACGTTGTCGATGATGCCGGCCACGCGCTCCAGCAGAGACAAGATGGTCAGGGCACTGATGGGGTTCCCGGCCTCGTCCTCCACCCCGACAATCTCCAGCTTCTCCTGGACGCCCGCCGTGCGATACTTGTGCTGATCCATTGCGGGGGGAAGATCTCTCACTTCGAGTTTATTTTAACGGTCGAAGACGTGTGGTTTAGTTCGGGTGAAGGGGACCAGGACCAGTAAAGTTACCAGCAGGGAGACCGGAGAGAGTCAACACCCAACCGCAGTGACCCAAACTCAGGTCTGGGGATGGGAGGAAGGGGAAACTCCACCTACACCTCTTAAAAAAGGCTTCAGGATCCAAAACGGAACCTGAATTCAGCCCTCATTGGGATGTGGGACAGGCAGTCAACTCAGATGGGAGCGGCAATGCTCACATGAACCAACCCCCAGCTAAAAATAAGAACTCTTTGCAAGGCGACACTCGGACATATTGGGAAGACGCAAAGCAGAGGATGATGGAAATCCCCGTCCAAGTCATGCTCTGCTTTGTCAGATCGACTCATAATTTTCCGTTATTTGTATATGTTCACGCTAACAGCTGCGATTTCATGTACATCAACAGCAGCTTAGGAGTAATTCTGCAGCTCCACGGTGACAAATGCAAAGAAGCCACAGTTGTCTGGTCTGATTACACAGTGCTGGCGTGTTTTTCGGGGGGGGGGATTAAACATTGCAGCAGCTGCCCTCTTTACTTTCCCATGGGCAGCAGAGTCTAAACATTGACTGCGACTGAGATCTGAAGCTCTTTATAGAGGCGACTGACGGAGTGTCAAAGTGACACTGTTTTAGCTCTCTGATCAGCCACGGCACTAACGGATGAATGTGAGCATGATGTGTGCCAAGTTCACAGTAGTTCCTATGTATTCAGTGTGCTGATTAATTCAAGGTCTTTAAGATAAGATAATGCTTTTTAGCTCACAGTTTGACGAAGTCACGGACTTGCTTTGTCACTTATTGATGGGCAGCTCATAAATACACATGAATGTGTTAAATATAACATAGTCATGAAGCCGCACCTATAAATACTGCAAGGACAAGCTTTCGGGGCTTCTCATTTTTCGTCTTGCGTCGCTTGCACGAGTTTGAAAGAGAAATGAAAGTTGCTCAGTGGCGCGTGAAGCTAAAGAAGTTCAACTTCCGAGTCGATAAATACCCGGATCTTCCACATTACGGGGGCCATAGAGCACTATCGTCTCCTTTAGCCCCGCCTCCCAGCCCCCCTCGGTCCGGCCTCGTTCTTATTCACGTCAATGGAGAAAGGAAAATAACTCTGGTTTCGACTATTAGTGCATTTTATAACTTTTAGGACCTTATTATTTAAACAAGGGCTGTTCATGTGTTCATACTAGGAAGTTGATTTACCTAAAAAATACAAAAATCCTCTTAGTTACAGACATCTTGTTCCCAATATAAGTCAATGGGAAAATCTTTTTGGGCTCCATGGCATCATGTTGTAAATTGTAATTCACCATTTGGCCACTACACAAAATCTTCTTCCGCATGACGACAATTAAACAACTTTAACAACGCTGCTGTTTTCTGAATGGAGCTTGGATCAGTTGGTATAAAGCTATGCTAACATTGTCCATCAACACTCTAAATAGCTTCATAGGCTTGAAAGTCGAGGAGGATCCACTCTACCCACCATAGCGTCCTTAAGTACCCCAACTACCCTCACCCGCCTGTCTAGAGAGGCACTACTTTAGGATCAGGGCCTTTTAATGAATGAATGTTGGATCATGATGGATGTTTTGTACAGTGTGTTGGTTTGGAAACGACTGATGGCTCAATGTGTTCGACTGAAGCCAGCAGCTGCTCCTGTCCCTGAATACCCCCCCATACCACTCTACTCTTTAACCCCTATATTTAGTCCAAGTAGCATGCCTGAGGCCCTGCCTCTTGTAGAAATGTACAACACATACGTATATTTTCATGTGGAGAGGCGGTGACCTCTGCTCCAGTTCTGGCTTCTGCAAACCAGCAGTTTTTAATTAGACGGGAGCATTGATTAAACCGACAGGTGGGTGGAGACTTAAAATGATGACATGGCTGGAGGCAGGCGGGTCTTATCCAGCGTTCGTAGCTATACCGACGAAAAATATGTGTACTTAATTCATAGGTATCTACGTAGCTAACTAAGTAGTTCACAATCTTTTCCTAAACCTAACTAACTTTGTATGTTCACACAGGTCACTGTCAATAATTTGTGTTTCTGTAGTCATCACACACACACACACACACACACACACACGATTTCTGTGAACACATCCTTAATCCTTCACAGGAAGTGGAATACAAACAGTCAAACATAAACCTCACATGATGAGATTAACATTTCTCTTAAATGACACATCGGCACCAGGGTGTACATTAAAAAAACATTTCCTTTTTTATTTTGGCAGAGACCAGAAATAGCCTCTCAAAAGTCTACATGCAGAATATTAACATGTCAAACACATTCTAGTCACATTTAGAGAAGTCACGGCTGCAATGGTCGACGAGTAGAAACACGTTGCTACGACCTGGAGACTAAGACGTTACAGAAAAACAACTCCTGTGATGGAAAAATAAAAAAGACAAACAGAGAGAAGACAAACCTCAGCACAGCCTCAGAGTTTCAGCTCGACCGCACAAATCCTCCTGAGGATTATTGAATTGTTTCTTCTGACCTTAACATCTAAATCAATTGTTTTCTGGAGGTTGAAGTGAAATTTTATGTCTTACTTTAACGTTAACGTTTTTTTCCCCATTTACCCAACAGATGTTGTATAACGTTAGCGCAACAGCTTTGAATCCTGTGAATATTTATGTACACGTGCAACGGATTCTCACTCATCATGATGAACTGGCGTTAGTTAAGTATGCAAGTTGTGTATCAAAACTACGGTAAAAGAAGTTGACTTGGTTTCACACGGGGCATGAGCAGCGGTGTCCTGGATGAAAGTCCTGTATTTGTTTGACCCATCCATCCGAACACGGACTTAGTCTCCGAGTGTCTAATACTGACACAGATGCATTAACATTGGAGTAAATTGAAAACTACATCCTGTTGTCCTCACCTACGTCAAGACATTGTCGCCTACATCCAAACATCGTTGCCTATTTCCTGTTGTTGTCACCTGCATCCTGTCACCCACATCCCTTTGTCATTGGCATCCCCTACGTCCAGACATCGTCTCCTATGTTCCATCTTTGTCGCCTATGTCCAGTCGTCTTTTACTACATCCTGTTGTCGTTGCCTACATCCAGACATTGTCGCCTACGTCCTTTCGTTGCCGCTTACGTCCTTTCACCCACGTCCCTTTGTCATCGGCTACATACTGTCTTCCCCTACGTCCAGACATCGTCTCCTACGTGCCAGCTTCCCCTACGTCTAGGCATCGTCGCGGACCTCCCATCGTTACCGGCTGTGTCGGATGTGCTACCACGGCTCGTTTTGTTTTGTTGTTTTTCCTTTTTCTAATTCTGATGACAGCCGCCAGAACTTCCTGTAATTGGTCCGAAAGGTTTTCAACCTAGAAACGAACTGGTTGATCCAGACCGAGAGCGCCTCTTTTTCGTCACCTTTCACAACTGTAGTTTTGGTTTCAGATCAAACTGAAACATCCGAAAATCCGGACCAAACAAGGTAGGCGTTACCGGGCCCTCAGTCTCGTCTTGCAGTCTGAGTTTTAGTTATTAAGTTAATGGCAGTAGAGTTCATGCATAGTTAATCGCCTTACATCACATCAGGAGACAGAACAATCAGACCTTTTCTTTGTAAAATTTGGTGTTCAAATTGTTGGAACAAATCAGCTTTAAACAGAAATACGCAGCTTGCATTTAGAGAATATCCAACATGACTTGAGGTTTAAATACTGCTGGAAAATACGAGCGAGGTTCCAGTTGTGAGGGTGCTGAGGTGAGACGGGAGGAGAGTTCATACACTCAAGAACAAGACAAGTTGGTGAGAAGCTTCAGACAATTTGCAAGGAAATAGGATTTTGATATAAAAACACACAACAAGCCATAACTCGACATTGTGTTACAGTAAACTCAGGGAGAACACAGAAAAGGCATCATCATTCATTGGATGTAAATTTCCTGTCGACATTGTTTGGATTGTTGTTGTTGACGTATTCGTCTGTCTTCGCTGTTTTTACGTCACACTAATAGAGACTTTAATGACGGTGAGTGAGCTGCACACCAATAACGTCTGTATCTGATCACACGTCAGGGTCAGAAGGAAACTAAAGTGTGTTTCCTGCAGGATTATTAAAGTTGTATTTTCTGTACGGGACCCTCTGAGCTTGGAATGTCTTGTTGAGGAGCAAACGCAAAACTAAAGACAAACAGAAGGAGAAAAAGACACAATTATTCTCTCACATTCAAAGAAAAGCCTCGATTACAAGCCAAGACTTTCCTACATACAAAATATAATTTAGAGTCGACCCTCCGTTTGCAGCCGACGCACTTCCGTTACAATCCGCAGGTTTATTGGACAAAAAAACATTCCTCAAAATCCGTCAAAATCAACGTGAATGTGTTCCTTGTCAGAGCAGAAGTGGTTTCAGAGGAACGCACTCCGACTGTTTCCCTCCGCCGATGACGAGTGTTTTCTTTTTTTGTTGTTTTCTGGTGCCGGTAAAACATTACACATTCCTTTAATCAACGGCGACTAAACCCCCCCCGATAGCGTCCAGTCATCAGTCAGACTTTTGTGGATTTCCGTTTCCACCGGAGGCGTCGAGGCCGTCGGCTTTCCTTTTAAAAAGTTAAAACTACACAGTACACAGTTTCACAAGTCATGCCAATACACAGGAACTAGAATCCAAGAAACAAACGTTAAAAATGAAAGTTAACATAAAAAATCTGAAGTAAAAACTATTTAAAAGATTATTCTCATAATAATAATAAATTATTTTTGAACACAGTGAAATCTTCCAGAATAAGTGTAAACATATCTATATCACTGCCCCCCCCACCACTCACCTCCTACAGACACACTAAACAGAGGAGACTGCATTTGGTGATCAGCTGCACATTATTAGTAAAAAGTTAGAAATAATAATTTTCAATAAATAGCACATTCCAGAGGGGCAGATACCGTATTCATAGAGCATTCAACAGAACCTCGAGTGTGAAGGGATGAACCCAGCGGGGCGAGTTAATGACGTGAAGAGTCAGCGGGTTCTCCGTGTGTCGGCTCCTTCAACTCAAAGGAGGCAAAGAAACACAAAATGATTTCCATCCAAAGAATGAAAAAAGGAGGGAAAGTAAGGCCCCTTAAATAAATATCCTCATTCTTCTTCCCAGGAGAAAAGAATATAAATACACCACATCTACCGTTAAAAAATGGTTTCCCCCCCGCCGTAAGAAAACACTTATCAAAAAGAAGGCAGCCGGTCACGGCTATACCATCCTGGAGTTAGTGTCCGAGGAAAAGTGTCCCAGGTTCTGTTTTTGCCGGCGACCCCTGTTGTTCTTCGGACATTTCCTAAAGAGACACAGACAGAGACATTAAGACTTAATCCAGTTGTCCTGTGTACAGGGACATGAATTGTCCATTGTTACTGTTTCCCTTGGAAGACATTTGTTTTTGGCAAAAAAAACAAAAAACGACCACAATGTGTCGAACACGGATCTTCTGTTTGTTGGACCCGTCCACCATTAGACGTCATAAAGCACATTAGTTGGTGTGACTCTTGTTTATCACATTCATCTCACTCATCAATAACAATGTTTTTTTTTTGTCCTGAGCGACATGAAAAAACAGAAAGACAACTTGTGTCGCTGTACACGAAACCAATTGATTGCATTTCGTGACTATTTCTCAAACTGCCATGAAATTGGGCTGTAAATCCACACTGAGGTGTTTATTTGACTACAGCAGAGGCTCCTTTCACTGTCAGACTGCTGCCCAACAACATGTGTGACACAAAGCGAGGCGGATGTTTCCTCTTCGCCTCAGACTGAAGGAGGAGAGTCTGTCTGCTGCCTCAGAGCGGAGGAACGAGGGCGAGTCACGTGCTGTTTAATCCTGTCGTCCACCTTCCTCTGCAGACACGTGACCGGCCGAGGCTGCTCCTGTCTTTACTTCACTATCAACACTGAATACAATCATATTTAATCTAATAACCTCTCTGGTACACAGATTATGATTATTAACACTGCAGAAAGTCAACCTATGTATCATCATCGTACTCATCGTGTGCTCCTCCTCACATAAATGAGACTCCTTTGACTCTCGTCTGTCTCTGCATTTAAATCGTCATAGTTTTAATTTATTTATTTTTAAAAAAAAAGCAAAACTACACAGATACTGAAAAGTGATGCAATATACTCGATCAAAAATGTAACCTGTGCAATCAAATCAAGTTTAATATCATGTAATTGAAGTGTTTTGATGAGGATTTTAAGAGGTAATTAATGGATAAGTAATGAAAGTAATACGTTTTAATTATCTGCACCACTTAAGTGCTGTTTTAAAGGTAAGAACAATAACTATAAAATTGCTAAAAAACATGAAAACCATTCTATAGTTCATGCCTTTAAGGGCCTTAATTATTACAATTATCAACACTTTATAACATTATAACTAGTGCTGGGCAACGATTAAAATATTTTAACCGCGATTAAAATATTTTAACCGCGATTAAAATATTTAACCGCGATTAAAATATTTAACCGCGATTAAAATATTTAACCGCGATTAATCGCATGGATTTTTTGTGATTAATCGCATTGTTATGGAAAAGTTCAATAATGAATTCAAAAGTAGTGTATTGCGCACTTTTATTTTAAAAGTACTGCTATATGAACAAAAGGTCAATAACATTTGGTTCAGGAGATGCAGGCAGCATGTTTTATACTTAATGTGAATATAATTCATACTTTGTTGGCATCTTATTCTGAAAACCGGATGTTCGTCTGAAGAAACCGGATGTTGTCTCACGTTAATCTTTCCGCTAACTTTCAAAGTCCTTCGCTCGCTCCCGATCTGTGCCGTTTAAATGCGTTTACCGTGAATGTCAGCATATAGGTGCACTAGAACTACTGACTATAGGATGTTTGGTGGCTTTTATCCCACTGTTCTTGTCATCCTCTTGTTGTTATGTAGATGTATTGTCTCTTGTCTTTCAATTTAAAAAAATAAAAATAAATAAAAAATTACATTAAATTTAAAAAATGCGTTAACGTGCGATAAAATAATTGTCGGCATTAATTGATGAAGGCGTTAACGCCCAGCACTAATTATAACCCATTAATAAATCCTCAAGTCAACGCTAAATATGGGCGTACTGCTTCATTTAAGGGTCCATGCAAAAACAGTAATATATACTGTATATATATTAAGAACATACAATGTTTTTGATTTTCGCCTTGATTGATGTTGCGTGTGAGTGAAGAACCGAACTTTCTAAACGAATAAATAAATGTGCGCTTCTTCATCAGACCTGTGACTGCGAGACTGCGGTCAACTCAGCAGACACTCACATGTTAGTGCACCTTTATGCTGACATTCACGGTAAACTCGTTCAAACGGCGCAGATCGGGAGCGAGCGAAGGACTTTGAAAGTTAGCGAAAAGATTAACGTGAGACAACATCCGGTTTCTTCAGACGAACATCCGGTTTTCAGAATAAGATGCCAACAAAGTATGAATTATATTCACATTAAGTGTAAAACATGCTGCCTGCATCTCGTGAGTTAAATGGAAAATACACCTAAATTGTGCGTAAAGTGTCTTTATTCTTTGATTTGGGGGTTGCTAATGAATAATACCTGACTGACAGTCAATTAAGATATTTTACTAAGCAACAACTCTGAACTGAATTTGTACCTTCAAATGGCACATTCTTTTAATTTTTAAGGTGCTATAAAAATATCTTTCTCAATAATTCCATACAATGACTGATGTATATGTAATCAAGGCATCGTTGACTTAATAATTGTTAATAGTTGTTTAAACAATTTAATAATAACAATAAATAACCACAAAGAAGTAAGAATAAATTGAATATGATTGTCTGATTTATGTTTGTTTTTTGTTTAAAAAATCTGAATAACACTTTGAATCTGTAGACTACTGCTAATAGTCTTATTATTGCCATTTGATGACAATGCTCATATATTGTAAGCCTAAATAAGTATATTTATTATTTTGAACAAAGGTTAAATGTTATTTCACAAGTTTCAAAAAGTGCCCCCAATTTTTTTTATAAATGCCCCTGGAGGCAGTGGGGGCAAAAATTGCCCCCTAAAAAATATGTAAATTTCCTACCCTGCTTTATTTAGGGTTACACATTCTCATAAAATATCGAGTTACACCTGGAAATACTTCAGACTCCTCAAGAAAAGCAAAGTCCCTTCATAAAGTCTTACATCGCTCGTTAACGGATTCATAATTAAGGTCGATCATAATCATCGTTGTTTGTTCATCGGCCTCACCTCGTGATGCACATCACCACGGCGACGATGATGGCGATCTGCACGGCGCCAATGATGGCGGCGATGAGGACGTAGTGGAGCTTCTGTCCACTGGGGACCACGTACAGGATGTTGAAGTCCTGAGGCTCCTCACACTGAGCTCCTTTGTAGCCTGCGTCACACCTGGAGAGTACAGTACAGAGTACTATGTGTACCTCTGAGACAGTACAAAGTACAGCATGTACCTCTGAGACAGTACAAAGTACAGCATGTACCTCTGAGATGTAGTACAGTACAGAGTACAATATATACCTCTGAGATGTAGTACAGTATAAAGTACAATATGTACCTCTGAG